ATGTCTGGTGCTTTGTTAGTGAGAATCAGACGAAGGGTGTCCAAGACCTTGACCATGGTGAGAGGGGCCTCCAGCCAGTCCCAGTCACCCATGCTGACCTACAGCAGCCCTCCCACAGGACCTGGCAAGCATCGGCATCAGTTGCACCCAGGGAGAAGAGCTTTGCATAGAAAGTCCTCAGCCTTTGTTTCATCCCACCTGGGTCCATGAAGGGGGTGCCATTGCCTGCTGGGGGCAGGCAATGTACTTCTTAGTGACCCTCCTTTTCTCCAGGGCATAGAAAAAGCTGGAGCCATGGTCCATCTCCCAAAGGAGCTGGTTGTGCAATGCACTGTGGGTGCAGCAGTTATCCGGAGCACAAAGCCTTTCCCACTTCTCCCTACACTTTCCAGAAGGATGGGTTGTCTGGGTCAATGGCAAGGCAAGGCACCTCTCCATCTCCAATGCTTCCCTCCCAAGCTACTCTCTAGCTGCCTTGTGCTGTCAGGTGTGCCCCTGGGTGTAGCAGTGCCAGTACTACCTAATGTGCACCTTCCCAACTTCCCACCATCTCTGAGCTGAGGGAAAGGCTGGCCACTGCTCGTGTCAGGCCAGCCAGAGCTCCAAGAGGGTGGCTAGAAACCCCACGTCCTCCTACAGGATGCTGCTGAAGTGCCAGTAGGCTGGGCCCAGATGCTCAGGCTGCAGCATGAGCCGATCATACACTAGATGGTGGTCACTGAAGGGGACCAGCCTAGTACCAGAGACATGGACTTGGGAATTGTTCAGTGTGCGCATCTAGATTCAGTCTAATTGGGAGTGGCATGCCTGCTTCTCCTCCACCCTGACAAAGGTGAAGATGGTGGCATCATCGGGGTAATGGGCATGCCAAACATCCACAAGGGAGTGGTCCATGATGATCTCCCTGAGGACACCTATGGCTGCCTGGCTCCACTCTCTGTGTGTGGTACTGCATCTTGAGGGTAATGTTAAAGTCCCTGCCGAGTACCTGGCACACATGAGGGCTCAGGGTCCTGAGGTAGGAGACTGCCTGCCAATAGAAGTGGGCCATCTCTGAGTCATGTACAGGGGCATAAAGGTTCAACAGGTTCAGAACCAGCCTCTGCACCTTGATCCATAGGTGGAGCAGGAGGCCCAGCACCACCTCGGCATCCTGGAGGACTTCAGGCTGCAAGTCGAGGGAAGAACAGGGTGGCCACCCCACAGGAGGTCTCTGTGAAGTGACTGAAGAACACCCTGTTCCCCCACTCCAGTTGCCAGCTGGCTTCAACGGCCAGAATAGTGTAGGTCTCCTGCAGGAAAAGCACAGAGTACCCCTCCCCCCCATCCTGAAGGAAGGAGAGCACCCAGCACCTGTGGAGACCCATCCTACAGCCACAGACACTGAGGGTCACAATCTTGAGACACGTCATTGCTGGGTCGGGGTGGGGTGGTCAGCCAGCTTGGCAGGGGCCTCATGCACAGCAGCGCCCAACCTGGTACCCAGCAGCAGCCCCACTGCCCTCCCATGAATGTAGAGGGCATCGCAGAAGCTGCAGGCCCCTTTGTAGGTCCAGGCATTGCACTGCATGGTCACCTTGCCTTCCCCCACCAGCACCCTCATACTGTTGAGGACATGGTGGAAATCCCCGCAGTGGTCCAGGGTAAGCTGCATCTTGTTCATGGAGCGCTGCATGCTCCCCTTCTCCAGGAACTGGAATAGCTCTTCCCTGGAGACCACCTGGACCAAGAGGTCCATGGGCTCTGTGGAGCCTGAAGCCCCCTGCTCATCCTTTTCCTGGCCCTGGGGTTCATCAGGCTCTGCCTGACTACTGGGGCAGGGGGAGAGAATATGCTCCACTTCTGCTTTGCTGGAGAGCTTTCTGAATTAACTGGTTCACTGAGTCCCCCAACCCTGGCAGAGGGAGCAGTGTAGTCCCTTGTGGTGGGGGTGGGCTCAGCTCAGGGGATGGCAGGGCAGCACACTGAGGGGGTCTGTGCTGAGTCGCCCACAGGGTATTCTGCTGGTCAGAAGACACTGCCTTGACCCCCTCTGTGTCAGGACCACAGGACAAGGGCTGAGGGGATGTCATGGGTGTGTTCAGGGGGGCTGGAAGAAATGCATTGGGCACCAGGGTGGCTTTCATGCCCTCCTGGAGCCTTGGGGAAGAAGCTTTTCCCTTTCAGGGCTCACTGGTGTGAGACCCAGGGCTCTCACCTCCCACAGGTGGTCAGAGGGGAAGTGCTCTGTCACCGGACCCACCCCCAGGGTGACCAAGACCCCCACCTCAGTGCTCAGTGTTGGGGGGCAGGTTATCCATGGGTTCCTCTCTGGGACCACCTGGCTATCCTGGAACCTCCTCCACAGGAGCAAACCTCTTGATCTTCCCTGGGGGCAGGTTACCTGGTGCAGCTTGGGGGGTCACAGGGATCTTCTTTAGCTCTGGCCCCTCTTGGTCATCTTGAGTGGGAGAATCCTCCACCTCAGAGGACCCAAGATGCACCTGGGCTTTCCTCTTGGCCTTGGTGGCTGTGCACAACCCAGCATCCACTCAGCCATGGGGTGGTCCTCAGATGGGTCAGCTCCGGAGGGAGAGAGTGGTGGGGAGGGTTATTTGCAGCAGTGGTGAGGTCAGGAGTGGAGATGTCCTGCTCCCTCCCCTCACCTGCCTGTTGCCTCCTACCCTGGGACCCCACCAGGGGCTGAGGAGTGGGGTCCCCTGAGCTCACAGGGGTACTGTAGCTGGGGCACCAGGGGTGCTGGTGGTGAGGGTACCCCTCTCTCCAGTGGGGGCCTTTGGTGCCCCCCTTGGCTGGGCTAGGGGGCACTCCAGGTACAGGTGCCCTGGGACATGGCACCAGAAGCATCTTAGCTCCTCCACCATACAGAACATGTGCACAAGAGTCCCCTGGAAGGGGACTGTAAGGGACCCCTCAACCTCTGCCCTCACCCCCACTGCCAGCTGGATCATGAGCTGGAAGGAGCACATGTCCTAGCACCCCAACGAGAGGGGAGTGACCAGGGAGATGTCCATCCCCAAGATCTGGAACAGCAGGGCCAAGTTAGGGACATAGGGAAGAATGGAGCTTAGGACCACTTGGGTCCCCAGCTCCTCTAGGGGTTCAAGGGCGATGTATTTGCCCTCCACTACAAGCCTCTGTTCAAGTGCCTTCTGCACAGCGGCCTCCATGGCCAGGAATAAGACCCTCTTGTCATGGAACCAGGAGGCTGCCACAATCTTGGGGGCCCCCACCACCCAAGCCAGGGCCCACATGTAGTTTTCAAAGTGTGGGTTCTCCTGCTCAAGTAGCCAGCACCTCACCCCATGCCTGTAGGTGAGGTCTGGGAAGGGAGCCCTGATGCCCAAGCTAGAAGGGGCAATGGCAGTAGAGGGCCCAGGCTTCAAGGCTGTGGGCCACCCCGCAGCCACTTGAGCATAGCTGTGGCTCCCCTGGTGAGAAGCTGGCTTGTCAGGGCCAAGGACAGGCTGAGTAGTTATGGTACTGCCAGATGCAGTGCACCTGGTCCCCCTCAGGTGCCAGTGGTTTGGGCTTCAGGGCAAGTCCTCTGCCTTTCCCACCCCAAGGTGTGGAGGAGGTCCCTAAGGAGCCCTTCCATTTGCCCCTTCCTGGGGTCCTTTGTGAGTGGGTCGCCTCCCCCCCCCCCAGGGGGAGCCTGGCCAGAGGGATACCCCTGGCCCTGCTGGCTCCTTTTCAGCCCGTGTTGGGGGCTGCTGGGGTGATGGCCCCCTCAGGGGTTTGTGCCCTGCCATAGCTCAAAGTGGGGCTGGGGATAGCATGGGGTGGGAAGGGGAGGTTCTGGGCTTCCCTGTCTCTTGGTCAGGGGCTGCAGGGGTCAGGAGGTCTGGGGCAGGTGCCCCCTCTTGGCTGAACTACGGGCTGGGGGGAGGGGTGTAGCAGTGGGGGCCGAGGCTAGCTTGTGCTGAGGCAGCAGGGGAAGGAAAGTTTGGGGAGGGGCCACGTGTGGGGGTGGGGGAGCTAGAGCTGGGGGTTGGGGCTCTTCAAGGGGCTTGGTGTGGGCCAGGGCTGGGGAAAGGGAGACACACACACAAGGATGGGGGAAGCACTCACCTGGCTTGCTCAGCCAGACCACACAGTGGGAGAGGAGGAGTGGCACAGGATTCACCATG